TCAATCTCTTTGAATTTAAAATATTAATATTCTCTTGATAAAATACAAACTTTTATGTGAAATAAGAGTGGTAAAACTATGTTGTACATAATTACATGTTACATATAGTTATGTGCAACACTTTCATTTTATGCTACATGTCATTTTATGCACATATATCAATTTTCTTGAACATTAAAATTGATTAATTTAAATGTCATATTTGGAATAATATGGGTAGTAGAATTAGATATTATATTTATTTTTTTATGATCCTTATCTTTGTCATCTTTTTATATGTGTGTATTATTTATAATAAAAAATACAATAATATAAAAAAAGTTAATCTGATATAGTTTTCACTGAAATATGTATATGAAAAAGCAAACATTGCAAGGTGAAGAAAAGTAATGTTATGTCAAATTCTCATCAAAACTTCCTGTGATTAAGGAAGGAAGCAGTATTTTCATGGAAAATATTTGATTTTTAAAAGAAATCTTTTTGTTTTAAATACAATATGGACTTTATTTTTCCTGAGTAAATATAGTAAACCGTCTCTATAATCAGACAAATGGGTTGTACATAAAAACTTTGCCTTCCTTTTGGTTAAGTATATGAACTTTGACTTAACATAGTTTTAACAATAATTATGTATATTTCTACCAATACTCATGAAAATAAGGGGAAGTAATAAAACGTCTAGTAACTTAAGTGAATAAATAAGTAAATCTCAAATCTCACTGTAGAAAAGTTTAAAGTTCTTCCTATCTTTTAACAGAAGACCAAAGTTAATACTAATAATAAATAGAAAAGTCGCTCCCCCCCCCCCATTTGCCTACCTTTGATGATCAGGAAGAAAACTGATACAGTTCCAGGAAGACAGGTCCAGAAAATATATTTTCTCCACCTAGACTTAGCTTTATAAAGACAACCACTGCCTTCAAACTCATTAAATGCACCTAACACTTAGACATGCCTCCTATCTCTCAAATTACTGGCAAAGGGAATGAAGTGAAGAGGCCACCACCTTAAAACAACACCAGGTCAAAGCAACTTTATTAATCAGGCTTAGGTTTAAAAAGTGTTAAGTGGCAATAGATTTCTACAATGAATAAAGCATGTCATTTTGGTTTATATTTTTAGAGAAAGTGCTATTAGTCATTTTACTACAAATTCATTTTGAATAAAAATTACTAAATCAAAGCTGGGCGCAGTGGTGCATGCCTGTAATTCCAGCAGCTCGGGAGATGGAGGTGAGCTCAAAGCCAGCCTCAGCAAAAGTGAGGCACTAAACCAACTCAGTGAGACCCTGTCTCTAAATAAAATACAAAATATGCTGTGGATGTGGCTCAGTGATTGAGTACCCTTGAGTTAAATCCCCAGTACCCAAAGACAAATTACTAGGTCAATAATGCTTTTGTTATTTTTGAGCATTTCCATAAATAAGTTTTAGAAAAGGTTAAATTTTTTTGTGGTTTATTCTAAACATAATTCTTTTTCTAAAATTGTTACGTCATCTCCTAATTCTATGTTATTCATTCTTCTTTTCCTATGCTCTTATTACACAAAAGTAATGAAAGCCTTTTAAACAACATTATAAAAGCATAAGGTCCCAACTATAAAAAAAAAAAAAAAAAAAACAAGAGTGAGCTTGTAAAACTCAAAATTTGAGTTATATCCTAAAATTCACTTGGAAAAGAGGCCAACCATATTACTCAAATCACAAAGAATTAGGTAATAAATAAGGAATATGTGTGTGGGATTGAAGAAACACAACTGAACTACAAAGGTAGCTTTTAAAAATAATTGAGACAAGTGTAAAAGGTGTGTAAACATCCCTGTGATGATAGTAAAAGTTAAAAATTACCATTCTTCTAGTGAAGGAGTTGAGTCTCTACACTAGAGGAAGGAAAATCTTCAGACTATGACAAATCATAGAGTTAAAACAAGTGCCTTTTAAAACTTTCATTTCAAAATACATATGAAACGCACTTGCTATATTTTATAAGCTATTTTTGGTGAAGATTATAGGATTTTAAAAAAATTAATAAGATCAGTTGCATAAACTAACATCTTCTGACTGAAAACTATGTTTGATTCCATATATATAATGATTTAAACTTGGTGTCCTAGAATATAATTATCTAAGGATTTATTCTGTTTTAGAAGAGCATGAGAGAAGAATATAACCAATTGTCCTTTATTAAGGTGACTGGACATGGAACCACCCTGCCTGAGCCTAGTCAACTGATTGTACTACCAAGCTAAGAACATGGGAGGCTGCCTTTGTGCAAATCAAAACTCAAAAACAATTATGCATATTTGGTATCACTAAAAGTACAATAACTATTTGGTTTTTAATGAAAAAAATACAATAGAATAGGGTTTGGGGGGAGAGTTTGCACATTCACCAATGTGCCCACACTTTACCCATTCCGAGAAATACATTAGTTTCTTCTACAATCCAAGAAGACTTAAAACTTAAGACAATAGGTCAAAGGGGGAGCTTAAAGCCCCTTTAACCTACACTCTACATTTAAGTTGAAAGCAGTACAGTCTGATGTTAACAAACCCCACCCCACAAAATACTACAACTAAACCAGTGATGTAAAGGCCCCTCTAAGGTATGTGGTTTTATCTCTATTTGGAGTTTTCTCTTCATCTACATATTTGAATGGATCTCAAAATCTGTTTCCTGATTTTTCTAAAATGACCTAGTATATGGTAACTATATTTAATGAAACTTTTCCTTTGTTAGCTTCTTTTTATTTGCTCATCCCTTAGATTTTACGGGCTCATCTTTTCTATCCTCTATGCCCTATCCTCAGTCAAACTCATCAGCAACTAATATTGAAACTGTAAACTATAAATGCTTCCCCTAAAACTGTATTTTCTTTCTCTTAAGCACCAAACTCATTTGCTCATCTGGCTACCAAGCATCTATACCCAAAAGCCCTATAAGCACTACAAGTTCAACATATATCAACAACAGAGCTCACTATCTTTCTTCCAAAATCTGCTTTATTTTCTATAGATATATTTTTATCTTGAGGAACATTCACCCAGTCTCCCAAGTTAAAAACCTCAACCTTCAGAGAGGAAAAATGTTCACCAAATATTATAAATCTATTTGTTTTTCATTTCAGTAAGAGCTAACTGTTCCAAAACCTATGCCTAAATGTGTTGTCATTCTATGCTTTAAAAACACACCACAAGATAAAATAATTTCATATTATGGTATTTGGTATGTCAGTTTATCTTTCCAAGTATAAATACTTCTGCCTTACCTTATTCACCACTCCAGTGGCACACTGATATTCTACAATACGCATTATTTGCACTCCCCAAGTAGAATACCTACTTGTTCACTAAATATTAAATGCTATCTATGTGCCAGGAACTGTTCTAAGCACTGAGGACACCACAGTGAACAAAACATGTTTCTGCCCTTATGCTACTTATATCCTAGCAGAAGCAGACAGAAATAATAATAATTATAATAATAACAACAACAACTATACAATACATGAGGTGGTGGTAAGCACTATAGAGAAAAATATCCAGCTAGAAAAGCAACTTTTATCATACTATGAGCCATTGTTTTTTCCAGCAAATAGCATGTTCCTCCTGAAACTACAGAAGTTCAGCATATGGTTAAAAATACAATCATACTTCTACATTTCTTAATTTATTTACATTTCAACTTAAATTATGATTTTAAATGCAAGAATCATACTGAAATGTACAGTCATGGAGAGGCATAGCAGAACACAGCTTACTTATGGAACAAACAATTATAATAATCTTACTTTTTAAGATTAAAGTTGATGAAGTCAATTATTTTTCTTTGATTGTAGTGTTTTAGTTGGCTCCTGGATGCACCCCAGAAAAGTATTATAAGTGCTGGCAAATTTCAAATTATGTCATGAGATTAGAATCTATAAAACTTGAGTAACCATCCAAAATTCATTTTATTGTTACTTTACTTTTTCTATAATACTCAAACTACCATGATTTCAAATTTGGGGCCTACAAATTAAGACTCCATAGTAATACTAGAACATTAGAGACAAGAGCTTTTTACTGATGATTTAAAAACCATTGTTCAACTGTCTGAATCCTTAAGTGCATAATATATCTCAGCTATTTACAAAGAGCTGAAACAACTGGAGAAACTACATAAGAGTAGTGTTTAAGATAGAGGACATTAATAAAGCTTTTGACAATGAGCCAAAGAAATTTTACACAGGCATTAATTGGCCCATTTCATACTCAGAAAATTAGAATGATTTGCCTTCCCATTTAAATGATAATACTCACTTTAAGAGAATTCAACTTTTCCTCTGGGAATCTCCACTGTTATTATATTATGTGTGGCACCAATCTCAGGCCATGATGGAATGAGTGAGTGAATGTTGGCATTTTAGAGTTCAAATAAATGTGTAAAGAAAGTAAAAGATTCTGGATTTTTTTTAAGATATAAAAGTTAAATCTGAAACTTTTTAAGCTTCCCAATAATTGGACAGCAAATAAGTTCAGTGGAAGTGGAGCCTTATCTTAATGACCACAACTCTGGTAAGCAGAATTCTGTCAAAGTTTGCAAGGTTTAGGAAATAATGACAAATGTCATCACTCTCTGAGGGCATAACCTTTCACACTTGTCCACAATCTCTGGATCTTTCCTAACATGCACGTTTTGCCATGTTCCTTTCTGTGTATACTCTGTGACTATCGGCTTCTTCCCTCCTCAATTTGGTTGGCACAGAAAGGGAAATGACCCAGGCCCAGCTGAAATTCTGACTGAAGTCTGGACCCATAAGAAAACTGGAGCAGGGAAAGGGATAGGATAGATCAGCCAATCTACAATGTACTGATGATTCCTGTGTTGCAGAAAAAAGAAGCTACCACTACATGGTAAGGGCCAGTGTTTGTGTTCTATTTTTAAAAATAAATCAAAACAAAAGATAGCTAACATGCAAACTTCACTTCCTTCTCAAGGCTGTGGAGAAAAAGACACATACCGCATCAGTGATGTCTATTTCATACACTCTTTGGAAAGTCCTGCGCTCAAAGAAAACGAGTTTGCCACTGCCACATCCCCTTTGAACAGAGGTACCGGTGACTATGAGTTTATCATCTGGACTAAAACAGCAGTCAGTCCTAAAAACAAAAAGAGTTCATAAGTATGAGCTGATGACCCCTATAACAGTACAACAATTAGTGAATTAAATAAAACATAAACATCATTGTAAAAAGAGCTAACTCCTCCTTGATCTTCATAATAACCCTATGAGGTAGATAATATCACCATTGTAGATGAGGAAACTAAGGCAGAGAGGTTAAGTAAACCTTGTCCATGATCACACAAGGGAAATGGTACAGATGGGATTCAAACACAGGCAGTCTGACTTCAGAACCTAGCTCTCAACTTCTAATTATATGTTGTCATACAAGGAAATGTGGGAAAAACTCAATGTAGACCTTGAGAGTGTCTACAGACAGACATATGTGACTAATGTCTAAGTATAGATTATTTAGGCTTTTTTTTTTTTTCTTGGTACTATTTTCTATTATCACCACCACTGCCATCATCTCTAAATCACTTCAGTTACATAAGTCCAGCACCATGAAACAAAGAGTAGGTTGCACTGCTGAAACTAATGGATGATTGATGACACTGATTCAATGGCTTTTATTATCAGAGGTCTGGTCACCTGACTGTGAATAATCTAAGACCTGGTCCAAAGAATTCATGTATTGAGTATTACTGGTAGCAGGCATTACAGCTCCAAAATTCACATCCACTATAAAGTCATGTCTGTTTCTTGATCTGGTTTCACAGCTGATGCAGGGGCAGTGGAGCATGTTAGAGCTGGTCTCTACTGTTACACAGCTTCCTCCGTTTGATGCTTCCATTACTTTCATACTCTTCCTGTTGATCATTATTTATCATGAATATGAACTTTCATTTCTACCAACATAGAAACATTGCCTAGGTACCAATTAAGGACTTGGAGGTTAAAATTCACCTTAGTTGCCTCATAAAATCTTCAAAAGTTCCAGTTGCCAACTTAGTAGAAGTAATAGTATTCAGTTACCCAGAGCAAGACAGTTTGAATAACTGAGGGAATTGTGTGTGCACACAACATATATACAAATATACACAGGAGCACACATCATTTAACTTCAAAAAAACTTTTAATCTGAAGAATGTACAAAATGAAAAATAAAATAAAATGCATCTTTCACAAAACAATTTTCAATCATTCTTTCAAGTCCCTTTTCTAGAAGATTTAAAAGACATGATATAAATTAACATTATGGTAAAGAAATTTATTTTCCATTGTCCTATGCCAACCAACTTACTTACATTGGGAACATGGTGGGAAGACCCAAGGCTGAAAAAAGTGGCTTATTAAATTGTCGGACATCCCATAATTTTAATGTATCATCACCTGATAGAGAAATGGGGAAAAAAATAAGAAAAAGATGAATTTCACAAAAAAAATTCATTTCAAAGTTAAGATCTGAACTCAATGTATAAGTGTAAGAAAGGAAGAATAAGAACAGAAGGAAGGAGAAAAGATAGAAAGAGAAGCCAGATAGACATATTTTACTTTTTTAACTGTTAAGAAAGTTTGAAAGCAGTAATAGTTGAACAAACAATAAAAAGTTACATGATAATGAGTCAGCCTTATAGAAATTACTTTCGAGATTGATGTAGCATCTGTATGCTAGAAGAACTCTAAAGCATGAATTTTAGAGCAGATGGTAGTTCCCCACGGAATGTTTGAGCATAACCTGACTTGGGAAGATATCAATTTCAGTACTGAAAATAGTTCAATTTACAACAGATTCTTTTCCCCCACTAGTATGTGGGCAGAACTATCCATTAACATTAATGAGAATGAGCTATGTTATTCCCTGCCCTCCCATGTAATTCTACCTGTGGCTATCATTCTTCACTTTGCTGGGGAGTACTGCTTTCTCAGGCAATTTAAAGAGTAATGAATATTCTTTTAAGAATCACTTTTTATGTTTCTATAGGGTTACTAACAAATTCCTGACCAGAACAAAAGTCAAATTCTTAAAAGTAATGTCTTTGCTGTTCTTGCTCTGCAGTGCTCACAGCTGAGGCCTGCCTCATCCCTTTAGGTCCAATAAGGAATCAGGATCAGGTGCAAGTCAGGTGAGTAAAGAGCTCAATAAAAACCCTCCTTCTCTCCTCGGAGACCCTTCTGTTTAATATCCAAAATTCTGGTAGGTACATGAATCCCCAATTGTTAGACCCAGAACCTGCTTTTACTGAAAGAACTTTGTAATCAGACTTACCTTTGGAATGTTACCTTATTACTTTTAGCATTAAAAAGTAATATATTCTTACAATTCTCAAACAACATGAAAGCATTAATCTGCATTTAATTCCAGTGAACCCAGAAGGTTCTGGAACTAGTAGGAGCACCTAGTAACACCAGGTAACACCTTTGGGACTCTGCTGAATAGACTTCCATCTGTCATTTCCTATAAATCCAGGAAGAAAAATGATGGAATATAGCATACGTGGTATTGGTCAATTAAGTTATCCAATAGCTATTACAGGATGGAAGGGGGAGTTAAGAATCGTCACCAAAATGGCTTTGACTGAAATAGAGTTAGACCTATACTTATCAAGTGGATGAAGGCTCACCTGTTTTAGAATAAGCTGAGAGGAATTTTCAAGTTATAATAACCTCTTTTTCCCCTTCATCTCCCCCAAATCTAACTCAGAAATTTGAGCACACCACCCTAAAGAATGTGACAACTTCTATGTGGTATTTTGCCATTTGGAAAATATTTCTGGGGGATTCAGACACACTGTTTAAATAAGAACCACTGGTTTTGAGTAAAGAATATATGTAGCTTTAATTAGAAGTCATCTCAGAACTCAAGAAGCAGGCTAGAATTGATGAAACAAAATACATATTTTATATAGATCCACACTTGCTATGTGTACCATAAAGAGAAAATTATATGTACATGTGTTTTGATTTTTTATTAAGTATGCAAGTAAAGATAGTTTGTATACAACAGATAAGGCTTCCTGAGAGGAAAGAGAATCTGAATGGAGCTTCCAAGAGTAAAAGGGCATGGACTCATTAAACAGGGGAAAATGGTGCTAGGTCTCTTCACCTCTCTTCACTTTCACTACCCTATATACTACATCATAAATTCTTTCAGGAAAGGGACCCTGTCTATGATATTCATAGTCTATACACAGAATCTAGAATAAAGTTCACAGTAGGTGCTCAAAATATATAGTAGTTAAGAGAATAGATGAAAAAATAAACTTAACACTGTGAGATTTGTCCATGCAAAATGTAGATCCTTCTTTGGCCTACAGAATGTACACTCAACCCTTTATGTGATATTTAAGGTCATTTGGAACATGGCTCCAAACTGTCTACCCTGTGCACTATTTTCTTTTCTCTTTCCACAAATGGGCCTACAAAAAATTTTCAGCCAAAATGCAGAGCTCCTAAACCTGCCTCCACTTTTATCCTTTTCCTTCTATTAAAGAAGACTTATCCATGTGAGAAAGATGTAGCAAAAAATTAGGGAAAAAAACCTATATCCAACCATATTTAAAATATGACCATCTAGAATTATTTGAAAGATAACATCTAGGTAAACATTTTTTTTAACTGAATTAAGATATTATTTGAACTGTAAAAAAATCATTGGTCAACAAGGATTCTGAAACACTAGAGACAGAATTATAAAATGGCATAAGAAGGAAAGAATGTAGGAGATCATCTACTAAATTCTGAGGGCAGGGGCAAACCTCATCCACGGTGGCATCAAACTCTTAAGCAAAGAAATATGCTTTCTAAATTTTACTTGATAACTTCTGATACAAACAATGTTCCAAGTTGAAAATGGATTTAATGGGAAAAAAAACATACTAGTACAGGTACATTAACAAAAAGCATAGCTAACTTTACTAAGTGCTAGGATATTAGCACGACTTCTTTAAAGAGTTAAATATCATCATTTTATATGTAGAAACACATCAAAAAGAAAGTTTTTAAACTTACCTCCACGAGAAGCAAGGACATTACCATCATAGGAAAAAGCCACACAAGAAGTGTCTGTGCCTGGGTCATGAGCCTGTTTATAGTGGAATTTAGGATGAACCTGTTTGTACAAACACAAAGTGTTAACATGTCACTTAAATTCAGAAGAGAATATTTTTGAGGCAAGACTGTTTCACTTTATCATATAGAAAATTATATACACCTACGTATAAAGTATTAGTTTCACTGATTATAGTTTCTTTCCTTCCAAAAAAAAAAAAAATTCTGAAAGGCTTTTCAAAGTCTCCATTAAATAAAGAAGAATAATGTAAGTCCTAGCAGGAGACATTTTCCAGACAGCTTTAGGAAGCCCTGAGCAACACAAGATTACAACTGCATTTAGTTCTTCATATTACAGTTATTAGGATGATTTTCTATATTTACCTGAAAGATCAAATATAAATACAAATGAGCATACAATTTACTTGCTCAAAAATATTTCTGGGTAGGCTGGGGATGTGATTTGGTGTTAGAGTACTTGTTTGTCTAGCATGTTTAAGGGCCTGGGTTCAAACTTCAATACTGCAAAAACAAAACAAAGATACTTATTGTATCCCTAGAATATGCCAGACACTGTCCATATGGTTGTAGGTCTTGCAGAATTTTTAATGTGCCTACTAGATAATAGTTATGAAAATAATAACAGCATCTAACCCTTACATATGCTTTTTAAATCCTAGGCACTGTATCTTTTACTACCTTGCCTATTTAGTCCTTGTAATCATTCTATTAGGTTCTATCACTAAAATCCCTATTTTATCTTTTAGGAAATTGAAGTACAGTGGCAAGTGCCTTATCCAAAGCCACATAGTTTGTAAGTGATAAACCTGTAAGTCTAAACCCCAACAGCCTACTCTTAAACATTGCACTATAACCCCCCTTCTTTTATCTGATCTATCATCATCTTTTTACATTTTTTAAAATTAGTCTTTCCTTGTCTAACATTTTCTTAAGCTTTGAAGGGAGAAGTTCAACATTGAGTCTTTATGTATAAGGATCCAAATAAGATGAAGAAAGAAGAATATGATTTAATATTGTAGGTTTATTTATCTTCTCTTATTTAAAAAATCACTGCAAGCAAATGGTTATAACCACTCAACAACCAAGAGAGGTAAGATGAAGGCAGATAAATATACTTCTAAAGTTACTTTTCCATAGTTGATGGTTTGTATCTCTACTACACCAATCTTGCCACTTGGTTATAGGAAGTCAGTCACTTTCAAAGTAAGATCTACATGAACAAAATCTGGTCCACTAAACACCTCATCCCCTATATAGGTGCCATGGATACAGTACCCTCTGTGATGGCTAATCATGTGTCAGTTTGTTTATGTGGACCTGTGTATATGCGTGTACACATTAATAGTTCTGGGCCATTACCAATTTTCCTAGAATAATTCCATGGCAGAGGACACAGATACCACTAAGTAATGACAACATGTGGGTCTCTCAGGGAATCAAATGTATGGGAATGCAAGTGACCCCCATTGCCACTGGTATCACAACAACTCTTGGCAAAGAGTAAGTCACAAAACAGAACTCATGTCTTTACCATCCCAACAAAATTCCTTTTAGTAATGAGGAGCACAAAGTAGACCAGTTCATTAAAATTATAATAATTTATGCATACTGAGTGAAAACTGACCTCACTCAGTTCTTTCTCTGGGTTCCAGTCTTACAAATTTGTATTAATTATCATGTTTCTATCTTTCGTTGACATAAAGAATTCATTGATTTGACATCTCATTAACTGGACACCAACTATCTGGCAGATACTATATTAAGCACTAGAAACATAAATGTACATAAATAAACAAGGCTTCTTTCCTCAAAGAGTTGACATTCCCTGAGAAAATATGGGTAAGTATACAGAGTAACAAGGGCAACAGTGGAGAAGTATAAGTAATATATGAGCACTGAGAGAGGTCCTTAACTTAGATTTGGGAATGGGGAAAAAGAGGAGCAAAAAGAAATTAGAGACCTAACTGATAAAGTAAAGGCAGATGAAGGAGCAGAAGACAGGAACAAGAAATTGTGTTCCAGAGAGAAGACACTACATTCCAGTAGGGATTATTTTTACATATATTCAATCCTTTATTTTAAAAAAGTTTTTTTTTTAATTATCTACCATGTACCCAGAAGTGTGTCAAGGTGAAAAAAAGTAGACAAGGTCCCTGCCCCTGCAGAGGTTTAAATTTAGCTGTAATGAGAATGTTATCAAATATAGTCTTGTAATTACCATTTAGTTGCCTAAGGAATAGAGCATGAAAAATATGAGAGTAGGAGTTTAGATGAGTGTCAGTACTCTGTGGCTTACAAAAATAAAGGTTTTGCAGAAAAGGCTACACTGCAACATGCTCTGAAAAACAGGGAATATTTAACTAAGCAGACAAGGGGAAGACATTCCAGGTAAGGAGAACACTAATTTGGCAAACACCCAAATGTTACAGCACTTCATTCTGGTTAGAATCCGAGCAGCTCCAGTTCCACAGACTGCATCCCCAGCATGGATTTCAGTTTTGAGAATAGGCTTTGCTCCAACTAGGACCTTTTATCTTTATTTCTCCCATTAGTTCTCTCTAATCATTTTTGGTAATGGAATAGTTGGCACAGTTTTATAAAAGCAACTTATCTATATTCATACTTTTATACAAAATATACAACAATTGATCATCAGCCCTGAAAATATCAATCAATATTTGCTTCCAGAATCTCAGAGTTATACCAGCACAGGTTTCCTTAAAGAAGATACTGATGAAGGTTAGGGGAAGACTAAATTATCTAGAGAGAAGCTATTAATGTTTGTTTGTTTGTTTGTTTATATTACTTTATTTGATTAAAAGCTTACTATATGAAGGCCTGATTACTGCATCCTTATCCCTAGAATTCACACTATTTATTTCTTTTCTTTTTTATCACTGGTTGCTAACTTGGCCTCTGTCTAAATATCCAGCACATTATTTTATTATAGTTTAAACCATTTTTTGGAAGGCTTGGGCTCTATCACAGTCATTATCTTAGAGCATATTGTTGGTATGCTATGATACAAATGGTTATCCTAGAAAAGCCTTAACTCAAAATCATAAAATATTGCTCCAATATTCTTTGTCTAAAAATACTAAACAGGTGGAGTTTACATTGTTATCATTATTTTTATGACTTGGTGGATCAGTTTGCTAGGGGCTGCTTTAACAAAGAACCACAAACTGGATTGTTTGAACAACAGAAATTTATCATCTCATATTTCTGTAGACCAGTAGTCCAAAATCTAAAGTTTCAGCAGGATGCTTCCTTCTTAGAGCTGCTTTCATCTTTACATGGTGTTCTTCCTGTGCAGGAATTTCCCCTTTTAATAAGGACACCACCCATATTAGATTCAGGGTCCACCCTATTCCAGAATAACCTAATTTTAACTAATTACATCTGCAATGACCCTATTCCCAAATAAGATCACATTCTGAAGAGGCAGAGATCAAGGTGAAGCTTCTATACGCCAAGGAATGCCAAAGGTTGTCAGCAAACCACTACAAAGAATGTCAGAGGCACAGAACAGATTCTCACAGTTCTCCTGGTAAGAAAGCTACGCTATCTTTCACAAAATCTTAAACATATCAGTTTTTGAACTTCTCAATAATTCAAGCATTTTATGGTGGTACCAAGGGTGAGTGAGTTTCCATCCAGCAGTTACTTCTGCCTAGATCCCAATATCTATCTCTTGTTCTACATATATCTATCACAGGAAAAGGACAATTCACAAAGTGATCAAAGTAAATAAAAACCACAGAATAAAATATTTTAATTGTAGTGATTTAATTGATAACCTGAAAATAGAGAAAAATTTATTACAAATAATACTGGTACTAGAGTCAGGCTGACCTAGAATAAAATTTTAGCTTACTAACTGGCTCAAGTATTTAATCTTTCTACTTCTCAGTTTATTAACCTATTAAAATAACATGCCTCACATCTATCTTTCCACCCCTGCCCTTCTCACCAGTCCCAAAAGACCAAGTTACATTTCATCTTCTGTCTCTCTGCCTGTGTCAGCACAAGGTTATAAGTGTATAGTGAATACCTCCTTTCAGAAAGATTCTAAAAGGCAACCATAGTGCCAAAACACTCCATGAGCAAGAAGGAAGCAAGCACTAGGCTACTTCACAAATTGGGTGTATTAATATTTGATTGTCCCCTAAAATCTATTCCTAGGACTTTTCAACAGGTAGAAAAATTCTTTCCCACTAGGAAATCTATTTTCAAGCTTAGTGTTAAACAATTCTAATCAATTTTGTATTTTCAATTCTGTATTTAGAGTTGTCCTAAATAGTATGTGGTACTGGTCCAAGTACTGGAGGTGACCTGGGTGAAGGAATGTCCTCATGGGTGCAATGTTTTAGGCATTTAAAAGCTATGGCAAGGAATCCTGTCTACAAAGACAAGTGTTTGTTGGTTACTGTTAAGTTTTACTGATGCCTTGCAGAGGGATAATGAAAACGAGAGGCATAAACAGGTAAAGACTAAGTGGACTACTTCAGCAGCTTCCAAAGAGGCTGTTAACTCCTGTAGTAGAACTGACACATTTGAGCAACAGATAGGAAACCAGATAGTTAGATTTACAGAGCTCTAGTGACATTTAAATGTTCAGCCAAGGCAGGTTCATTATTTTAAAGTCAGGGCTCTTGGGCTGGGATGTGTCTCAGGGGCAGAGTGTATGCTTGGCATGCATGAGGCCCTGGGTTCAATCCCCAGTACTGCAAAAATAAAACAAACAAACAAACAAAACTAAAGTCAGGACTCTAGTTGGGAAAACCTAAGACCCTGAAATGTCAGAGTATATTTGGACAGATATCCCATAGGATGCTAGTTCTGCAGACATACTACCCACCCACTCAAAACCCTAAGACCTCTCACATCTTAAAGAGGTAACTCTCTCTTGCCTAGCAAAAACTAGAATTTCTTCCTGCTGCAACCCCCCCACCCCCACCCAGCTTCCAAGGGACCAGATAATAATAACCACAGAATAAAATATTTTAAGGGACCTCTTCTTAGGACCTTCTCCTTTTC